TGTGATTGGCTGTTATCAACCGCGATTCAGCTGCGTTAGCCGATGTCTGCCTGACTCCCGTTGCTTTGCTTCCTGCCGCCCGTTATAGGCTGAATATGCTTATCATGTAACGTCAGGCTGTCCGATGTTGCCATATGGTTACTCCTCCTCCTATCACGGTCCAATGTGTTGTTGACACCTCGTGCGGTTATACTGGTTGGTGGCTTCTCAGTCGCGCTTACAGCATTAGTCCCATTAGTTTGCTGCCTTGTCTTCGATCTCGTAGCCGGTCCAGTCCGTTTTTCTCCTGTATCATTAATTGTCATGACTTTCAATCGTGCAGACATATCAGTTGTTATGTGGTCAGGGTCCCTCACTTTTCTATCCTGGATGACCATACGAGAGGGGGCTAGTTGTCGGTTTGCACCTTCTGGCCCCTTGCGCAATTGCTCGTGATGCCTTAACACAGTGTTTCTCAACCTTGACAATTTTAAGGCATGTGGACTTCAACTCCTAGAATTCCACAGCCAGCAATGCTGGCTGTGGAATTCTGGGAGTTGAAGTCCACATGCCTTAAAATTGTCAAGGTTGAGAAACACTGCTTAACACCTGATATGCCGTATAACAAGTCGATATGTCGGTTGGTAGGGTATATACATAATGTGAAGTAGAATAAGGTGATCACCAGGATAAAATCATAAACATAAATGTTTAATCTAATTTTATCCTGGTGATCACCTTATTCTACTTCACATTATATCATATATATGTATATAGCAGTGACCGAGTGCCCAAAACCCGTCTCGCCCCTGCCCCATCCATACATCTCCTGCCCGCAGGGCCACCCACCACCTCCACGGCCCGCCACAGCAGATCGCCCAGGCGGCCCAGCAGCGTCATGGCGGCCAGGCCCTCTATCTGCGCCCCGCAGCATCATCTGTATGCGATGGGGCGTGAGGGTGGAGTCTTGTCCCCGCTGCCCGGCTGCCATGTCCTTGGCTGCGCTGCTCTGCACAGGCTGCGCCCGGGGCGACTCTCCTCTGGGGGGGCTGCTGGTGAGGAGGGGGCCACAGGGGTGGCGGGGCTGGGGCGATGGCGTGCGTGCCCACAGAGAGGGCTCTGAGTGCCACCTCTGGCACCCATGCCATGGGTTCGCCACCACTGGTATATAGCATGTGTGCATGTGTGTTATGTATGGGTGTGGGTAGATATATACTGTCTTTTGAGAGCAGGCAACAAGAATTTCATTTTTAATGTGGGCTAGTGTGCTCATAGTAAAAAACGACAATAAAGGTTATCTTATCTATGCGGTCCTTAAGTGAGTCTGACTTGCCCCACTGACTTTGCTTGTCAGAAGGTCACAAAAGGGGATCACATGACCCTGGGACACTGCCACGGTCATAAATATGAGTCGGTTGCCAAGTGTCTGAATTCTGATGGGGACGCTGCCACAGTCGTAAGTGTGAAAAATGATCAAAAGTCACTTTTTTTCAGATCCGTTGTAACTTTGCACGGTCACTAAATGCACTTTTGTAACTTGAGGACCACCTGTACTCAAAAAGCAACTGTTACAGTTAATGACGTAATGTTTGCTTGCTTTGCCTCTGCTTTTAACAGCTTCCTATTCCACACACATTTCTTTAAATGTGTGTGTGTATGTGTGTGTGTATGTGTGCACACATCTGGAGCATATCTTTTCCAGATAATGGGAAAATAACTTTTAGGGGAGAAAAAAAATCAATTCTCTTTCTTTGGGAAGCAGCCTGACTCACCTCGCTTCCTTTTCCCAATTAGGCGCCCTCCAGGTATATTAAATTAAAACTCCCAGCATTCCTCTGGGGGGCAGAAGCTGCTTAATGCATTTGGAAGGCCTCAAAGCGCCAAGGAAAGCTGTTTTATCAGCCTGGTTTGAACGTGGAGTGTGTGAACCCAACTTAAAAAAAATAATAATAAATACTATAGCACCGTGTTTCTCGATCTTGGAAGAGGGGTGGGCTTCGACTCCCAGAATCCCGCAGCCGCGATGCTGGCTGAGGAAGTTTGGGAGTTGAAGTCCACCAACTAAAGCAGCGTTTCTCAATCTTGGCGGCTGGAAGAAGGGTGGACTTCGACTCCCAGAACTCCGGAGCCAGGGGAATTTTGGGAGTTGAAGTCCAGTTATCGTCCGGATGGTCATTCCTCTTAGCTCCGTGGGCTTCATCTTGTCTTCTCTCCTTTTTCTCCAAGGATGGAGGGAGACTTCCAGTTCCTCTTGTGCGCGCGGTGCCAGAGAGAAGCCAGGAACCCCAAACTCTTAGCCTGCCTGCACACCCTCTGCAGCGAATGCCTTGAGGAGAACAAGCCCGCTGGGCAGTGTCCGGTCTGCGCCATCCCCATCCAGACCTCGGAGAGATTTCCGCCTCAGGACAACCTGCTTTTCATCAACCTCCAGGCCAAGCTCAACACCTACCAGAAGATCGTCAGGAATCAGGAGCTGCTTTGCAATCTCTGCAAGGGAGGAGCGGAGTTCTGGTGTGTCGAGTGCGAGGAGTTCCTTTGCCTGAAGTGTTACGAAGCCCACCAGTGGTACATGAAGCAGAAAAGCCACGAGACCCAGCAGCTGGCCGATTTGAGGAAGGAGACGGCCCAGAGTTTTCTAGAAGGGGCAAGGAAGTCTTGCAACCTATTTTGTGCCGAGCCCAGCCACAACAATCAGATCATAAGGTGAGGGTCTTCCTTGGCAGCCGAGAGAGGAAAATCAGGAAGTCCAGGCGGTTCAAACGAATATATAAAGGTTTATTGGGAGCTGGTGATCTCAGCGAGATTCTGAACTACTAGCCGTCAAGGGAAATTAGCGGGAATTAAGAATAGAAGGAATTCAAGGTGGGCGGGATTTAGGTTTCCTGTAAGCGCGAAGGGATTCGAGACCGATGATGCCCTTGACCCCTCCCTCCCTGGGGCTCAGTCTGCTTATCTCCTACACCGTCCTAACTTCAAACGGTTGTAAGTTGAGATCTCTTGTGAGCGCGAAGGGATTTGAGACAGATGATATGCTTGACCCCTCCCTCCCTCGGGCTCAGTCTGCTCATCTCCTATACCCGTGGTGGCGAACCTTTGGCACGGGTGCCAGAGGCGGCACTCAGAGCCCTCTCTGTGGGCACGTGTGCCGTCGCCCCAGTCCTAGGCCTTCAGCTGGGTTTTATAAAACCTTTTCGCTTTAGGCCTCCGCCGCCATGTGGGGAAAAAAAAAAGGTCCAATCAATCAGTCAATTTCAACTTCTTGCGGGAAAAAAAAGATTGGAATTGATTGATTGAACTTTTTAATCCCACCCAGTCTGCCATTACCACCGCAGCCACGCCCACCCAATTGGCCACGTCCACCCAATTGGCAACACTCAGCCAATGGGCCACACTCACCTGGCACTCAACGATGCATAAGTGGGTTTTGGGTTGCAGTTTGGGCACTCAGACTCTAAAAGGTTCGCCATCACTGTCCTATACCATCCCAACCTGAAACGGTTGTAATTTGATATCTACTCATTTTACTTGAAAACAAATTGGCAATGCCATCTTTTTGATCCAGAAAAAGACAGAAGGGATTCAGGTGTCTTTTTTAAAAAAAACAATAACAACAACTGGTCTTCTTGTGCCTAACAGCATCTACTGTCGTGGCTGCCGCAAACCCATGTGTTGCTCTTGTGCCCTGCTCGATGGAGAACATTACAACGCCAAGCTTTACAGTGACATCCGGGTGGAAATTGAGAGCCGGAAGGAGGAACTGAGCAGGGTCAAGATGGAGCTGGTGGAGAAGAAGAGGAGTTACGAGAGCACCTACCACAACGTCCAGGAGCGACTGCAGAAGCTGGAGAAAGTACGGAACGAGACCCGAGAGCTGATCCAGAAGAAGGTGAAGGACATGGTCCAGTGGATCCAGCACAAGGGGGAGGAACTTGTGGAGAAAGTGGACCGACGACTGTGTCTGGAGCAAGAAGAAACCAAGAAGAAGCTGGAGTCTACGGAGCAGTTCCTCAAGCGAATGGAGGCCGGCGAGCGGCTGGTGGAGAAGATGGACCTCTTTGCCTCGGACCAAGAGGTGATGGACATGCAGCCCTTCATCAAAGACTCCCTGGAGAGGCTCAAGAAAGAGAAGCTGCCCGCTTCGAGCTTTCGGATCCAAGTGGAGAACTTTGATGAGGTCAAAGGGGAACTCCAAGATCTGCTTAGGAGAGTCAAAGGAGAAGGTGAGAAGCTTTTGAAAAGCCAGTTCTTGTGGTTGTCCTTTTTCTGGGGGGTGGGACAATGGTGTCTTAAACAAGACTGGAAGATCATGAAGGAACATCTGTGGAGACGTCTCTGGGACAATCATGAAGGAACCTACAGCCATATCAATACCGATGGTATTTTTGATGGGGAACCCAACTGAGCCCTAATCTGTAAAGGAGGGATGTCTAAGCTTGGCACCTTGAAGACCTGTGGACTTCAACTCCCAGAATTCCCCAGCCAGTTAATTCTGAGAGTTGAAGTCCATAAGAAAAGCAGGATGAATAACACAATGATTGGAGAAGTTGTAGTACCAACACTTTTGGTCACTATAGACTGTGGAACGTTGTTAAGGAATTGGTGCTGAACAGTTGGTCTGTCTCTCGGTTGAAGAATCGAGGCAGAACCCTAGGCAGATGCCTTCAGCCCAAGCTTTGATCACCTTAATCTAGTCTTAATTCTCTGTTCTGCTTGTAGATGCTTTTGGGTGTACAGTTTCCACGCCCGGATCTTGCTGTTCGCTGGTCAATTCGGTAAGCTTGAGTTGGGTGGTTATGGAAGTGGACACTGCAATCGAAGATGGTGAGGGCCACTGATGCTGGGCCTGGGTCTGGATCACAGGACCCTATTTTCGTCACCTATCCTGTGGGCAGAAGGTTGATCAGTAACAGCAAGTCGTCCTCTTCTTAAGACCACAACTGAGCTCAGAATTTATGGTGCTGAGAAATCTCTTAAGTGAGTTTTGCCCCGTTTTACGACTTAAGTGAAGGGAATCACTGCAGTTAAATTGGTAACACGGTTGTTAAGTGAATCTGGCTTCCTCATTGACTTTGCTTAGCGACTGGCCCAAACGATGACACTGTTAAGCTCAGTTACAGTCATAAGTCGAGGACTTCCTGTATAATAGCATGTCTCAAATATCTTTATCAGGAATATCACGTAGACCGGCTTTCTTCTCCCCACCTCTGTTTGCATTAAAACTCGTTTTAATCTCTACTTCTTTTTTTTGTTGTTGTTGCTGTTGTTGCCTGCAGGATAGTCTGCACAATGAGAAAACTCCATCCAGATCCCAAGGGGTGAAAACACAAAGGCCCACATACACCGTCAGCGTTGCCAAAACACCACAAGGTTTTGTAAGTGTTGGTTATCTGCAATAGCTTTTTGTTGTTTCACCTGTTCAGATTTCTCTGCTGGTCAGTTTCAGCTTATTTGGGGGGGGGGGGGCGGCTTCCAATTTATCATCACGGGGAAAAAATCTGTAAATTTTCACTGAATTTTCCTTGAAGCAGGGGTAGAAATATTTCTACTCTGAAATGAGTTCTTCTTGGCTTTGCTTCTAACATGCATTTGACCCCAAAAAGTTACTTGCTCATTTTTTCCCCCCCTCTGAAAACACCAAGCAGGTCTGACTGAAATAATGTTAGCTTATCCACTGCTTTATTTTATTACTTTTTTTTTTTAACATCCCATAGTGTAAGCAGTGAAACCTATTCTGATAGGAAAGGAAATTCCTGTTTGAGGCAAAGACCAGACAATTAGGA